TGGCTGGGCCTCGGGCCCCCTGCACCCGCTGCTGCTGGCTGGGCCTCGGCCCCCTGCTTGAAGCGTGGTGGCTCTCCCTCCACAGTGCGTTTTCGGGGCTCTCCGAACCCAGCCAGCCACTCCAGCCGCCTCTTCCCTCTGTCTTATTTGCCATCGTACGTGGTCTTTGCGGATTGTATCATATTGTACATGACTTCGGGTTTCCAGAGTTGTAGTATTCTGACTACAGTATTTCCATGTGTGTACATAAACCTGAATAAGCACAAATGAGATCCTGAATGAAGTGTATACATTTCATATACTGATTGTCATACGAATGAATTTTATAATTATTCCAATTTTGTTGTAGATTTCCAATCTTTCCTATTTATTTTGTACCAGATTTATTTGTATATTTTGTGATTTTGTTTAAAAGCATTTTGTTTATTTCTATTCTTTTTAGATAAATGATGATTTTTTTTTCTGTTGAACATTCCAGTTTATGCATTTTTCCCTCCTCAATGCTCTCCCCTCCATTTCCAAGGGATGGATTTTGGCATGTGGGTGGTGGGGCTGAAGTTCAGTGATCCTGGACCCAGATCTCTGCTATTGGTACATCAGTGATCTCTAATCACCGCTTCAGCTGTCAAGAGCCACAGAGAGGCCAAATCCTGTTTCACTTAGAGCCAGGTCTTGCTCTTCACTTTGGTGGGGCTGGGCCTGTAAGTCCTTGAGCTTGGGCAGGCTGTGCCAGTTGTTTTGCTGACCAGGAGCTGGGAAGCTAGTGGTAACAGCAAGCAACAGACTTTCTCTTTCTGAAGTTTCGTCAAGGGTGAGGACCTTTTTCTTCCATTAATAAAAAAACCCTTATTTACAACCTGCTCTCCATATATCAAAGTTTGTTTGTCCAGAAGCGTTAGATGCTGTCTGTCTGTCTGTCCATAGTGCATGTTTCTGGCAGGTGGTGCCTGACTGGAGGGTTGCCAGTGAGGGACATGGCTGGTGGTGATGGCATCTCCGTTGGGCAGGAGTCACTGGTGGAGCAAGTCTGTCTGTCCCCTGTGTTAGGTGCCACTGCCTGCGCTGCTGGTAGCAGGGCTTTGGCAGCAGAGTTGTGCAGAGCCTGCAGGGATGGAGATGTATTTCTGAGCGGGCGAGTGAGCCTGTTCATAGTCCCCTGCCCAGCACTGCTTCCAGCTCCACGCTTCCAAGGCCAGCCCTTGCCCATGTGCTATGTACAGCCCTCCTGTGCAGCCATTTTGTGCTTCTGCCAGCCCTCAGCCCCCGTCCTCCTCACAGCCATTTCACCCAGCTGCTCTCCCTGCACTGGGTTTTCTTCCTTGCTCAGCTCTTAAGCTGCTAAACCCTGGGTAGTGAGTTGGGCAGCATCTGCTCGAGCCTTGTGGGGGGTTTTGCCGCGAGCAGGATAGGAGTCGAATTAATGTGACAGCAGTCTTCAGGGCTCTGATGGTGAAGAGCAACGGGAGGGAGGAACAGGGCAGGCAAGACCGAGCTCCTGGATGGGTGCAGATGAGAGGCTGGGTCCCTGCAGGGTGGTGGGATGGGTGTTGATTGCCTGGGTCCAGCTCACACTGTGACATGGGGCGGGAGTGGTGCCCACAGTGGGGGCAGCTGCACCCAAGGCTCTCCAGCAGCACCTGGGCTACCCTTCACCCTCCCCACCTGGCTGGGCCCTGAGCCGCTGCAGCAGCAGGGATGGGACCCTCGGCACCAAAGGCCAGTTCTCACAGACCACGGGAGTCACGCTCAAGGTCACCTTTTGTACCTACAGGTTGTTATTGACGCATTTGCCCCCTTGCTGCTACTGCTGTGTCGCTGTGTCTGAGTGCCTGGACAGCCCTCGTCAAGCTCCACAGCCCAGCGGGCCCCAGGGCCGTTCTGCTGGGGGGGAGCCCCCTTCTGCAGGGCCTGGCTGGGCTGGGGGCTCTGCACCTTCAGCATCACCTTGTCAGTGTGCACTGCAGGTGGCCGGGGCTTCAGGTGCCAAGGCTGCAAGAGCTGCTGCTCAGGGCCTGGCACAGGGTTTGCAACCTCCACCGTGGGCAGGCTTACCCTGATACCAGGGTTGTGCTTCAGCTGCAGTGGGCACTCTCGCCACTGAGAGAGGAGGTGGCATAAAGAAAGAGGTGCTGGGAGCATCTCTGGTTCCTCTGACCTATTTAGAAGCACTTGCTGGTAATGGCTAACATAAAATGTCTGCAAGGCATTTGCCTGCTAAGGGCAGAGACTGCTGGGGGCTCCTGTCCCTGGTAGTGCAGGCTCTGTGAGCCCGCTCCACCTCTGCAGAGCAGGGAGCTTGGGTGTGTGGTGTGGGGGAAATCAGAAATCAGCCCAGCAAGAGCTCAGGGCAGGATGGGGTGAGGCCTGTCTCCAGTGCGTCTTGCTCCCACCAGGTTTTGTTGCAGGAGAGGCCACTGCTGTGGGCAAGTGTGCCTGTGCCTTGGGGCAGGGGAGCAGGCTGCGGGGAAAGCAGCAGCAGCCCCACAGCAGCCGCACCTCACGACGGCTTTTTCCTGTGGGCTGTGCAGAAGCAGTTGGTGCCACAGGTCCCGCCAGGCCACCAGATTCTTGGGAGGAGAGGCAGCTGGTGCAGGCAGCTGCCTGCCCAAGGTGTGGCTAGCAAGTGGCTGTGGCCATGTCCCTTGTGCCAGCTGGGGCAAGAGACTTCACCTTGGCTCTTGCTGGGTGGTGTCTTACTACAGTGCCAGCACAGAATGGGCAGGGCGGCACAAGGCCGGGCAGGGAAAGGTGCCCACGTGTCTATCAGGCTCTGCCCGCCACTTTCCCACCATCAAGTGAGGGTCAAATACTTTCCACTGCTCCAGCCTTGAAGAGTCTTCTCCCCATTGCAGTCAGAAATAGCCCTGGGCTGGGAGTGAGCTATTTGTGGCGACCGGTTAGGAAGGAGGAATGCACGGAGCTCCCCAGCCCTCCTTTCCCGCAGCTGCATGCCCTCACCAGCTGCTGAGCTAAAGCTTAAAAAATTCAAGTGGCTATACTTGGAGAAATGTGGTTTAAACATAGCAAAGCCCAGCATGGCCTTTAGTGAAAGTGCCCCTCAAACCCTCCCTACAGCCAGCCCCTCTGTGGGTATGTGTTAGCTGCTCTCCAGACCCCGAAATCGAGGGGTCAGGGATCCAGTGCTTGGTTTGGGGCTTTTAACAATCCCTGAAGCGCTGGCTGTTGATCAGTCAGTAGCGTTGTGTTTCTGTTTGGCACTTTGGGCCCTGGGTAGTGATGGGCATAGATGGTAGGGCCTCATCGGGGCCAGTTTGGTTATAGGCAAAGGCCAAGCACAGCCATGTCCTGTCCCCAGGGCTGTTCCCATCTCAGCTGGGTGCAGGGTAGATGCTGCTTTTGCCTGGGCCAGCCGGTGCCTTTGCTGTGGCCTTCCCCAGGTGCTTTCCTCCGTTTAACCAGGTTTGCAGTGCCTGGTGAGCGTGTGCCATGCTGTGCTGCCAGCACCACGCTGGGCATAGGTTGGGGTGGAGAGCTGCCCTTCAAAATTCCTGTGGGAAACAGCTCTGCAAAAACCCACCATTGGAGGTAGTTGTGAGGTAGGGGTATTGCCCTTCCTACTATGGAAAAACTCCCTACTCACTCTCTGAATCCAGGCCACAATGTTTCTCTGTCTTCCAACAAAAGCCTCGTGCCCCTACCCCCACCCCACTGCTTCCTGCCCATCTGCTCCCTGGGGCCCAGACAGGCCCTTAAAGCCAGCTCCACAGCCACTGCTGGGCAATGCTTCACACAACCAATTCCTGGAGGTGCCTTCCCCCTTCCTCAGGCACTCGTCCTGCTGGGACTCCCAGAGACAGCCCTGTGTCTCTGCCACATCCAGCAGAGCCTTCATCATCTCAGCGACGCGCCACAAAGCACCAGGCACTTCTTAGAAACATCGTCATTTATTGACTTGAACAACTGCCACTGCAGCAGCAGCGTCTTCTGCTCAGATGTTGGTGGTGTGGCTTTTTTTCTTTTTTTTAAATTTTCTTCTAAGGTATTTTAAAATGGAAAGAAAAAAGATTAAATGAGTTTATGGTACTGAAAAAACAGTTGAATTCGTTATAAGAGGGCCCTTGTTGTAATCCCTTCACAGCGAACGGCACGGACTGGAGTAAGGGAGGCTGCACCCGTGACATGGAGGGAAACCGCAGGGCACTGCTGCCCAGCTGTGTGCTGGCCCCACGCCTTCCCCGGGGCCGGCTTTCAGGCACAAGGACTGACTGCCCATCCCCACGGGGCACCCTCGGTCCCTGCATGGCAGCCTGTAGCCATCACCCTCGTCTGGAGGCTCTGCTTGCTCTGCGCCAGGCTGAGGAGAAGGGCTGCTGCTGGCCGGGCTGGAATCTGCCAGCTCCCAGCTCAGGGCAGGCTCCGTGGCAGCACCCTGGAATAACAGGCCCTTTCACTCCAGATCGTGGCTGGGTTTGTCTTTGGGATGCTTCACTTTCTTAAAGCTGAGCGGGCAGAAAGGTGAGTAACAGGCAGTAGGAAAACAAATCGACTAATGTAATGCTAAAGCGGTAGCTTCAAGCTCCTGGGTTAATATTTACTGCTGAAACTACAGGAGTTGAGAACACAGTGTGCGGCTCAGCTGTTTGAGAAATGCACTGGAAATCATGCGTCACATGCTGCTGATGAAAGAGCTTTGAAACACTGGGAGAGGATAACGAGCGTCTACAAGCGAAACGTGTACAGCTGCAGATACGCAAGAGCTGGAATCCCACCACCATCCCTGACAGCTGAAGGAACCGAACCACATACACAGAGAAACTCACGCCAAGCAGAGGGTAAAGCGAGTGCTGGAAGCCACAGCAACACCCTGGCTAACACAGGGAGGGGGCGGTTTGTAACTGAGAGGCAGAGGCTTAAGGACAGCAACCCAACAGGCAGGAGGATTTGGTAATTCTGTCTCCTGCAAGGCCCAACACGTCCCTTCCTTCTCCATAGCGAACATTACAAACGGCAAAAACCGTTCACAGGATATCATACAAATGAAAATCAAACAAAACACATCATGGGAAAGAGAGAAACATGCAGCATCCCGAGAGGTAACGGGAGCAGCATGACAGCACAAGCGGGCAGGCCAATCTGAACGCACCACTCAGGCAGAATCCATCAACTTTTTGAACCGTCTGCAAAACTGAAAACAAGGGTCTCCTCCTAATTAGTGTTAATTTGTTAGAACTTTCCAGACACTTTCAAAATGTGCCTTTGCAAGAATCACACCCCCCAACCCATCACCCCAAGGGCCCCAACAAAGGAATCCGCTCCTGATCACTGCCAGAGTCACGGTTTGTCTTCAAAGACGCTTCGCTTTTTTATTCTTATTCCTCTTCCTCTTCCTCCTCTTCTTCCTCCTCTTCCTCTTCCTCATCGTCATCTTCATCGTGGCAATGTGTGATTTCCTGAGGTGCCTGAGGGAAGAGGTTGGGCGGTTTGATCTCGCTGATGGAGCGGGTCAGCTGATGCCGCTTGTAGTCAGAATCTTTAAAATCCACCGAGGTGCGATTGCGCGTGGCCATCGGCGACTCCTTCTCATTGATGTCGACGTGTGTGTGCTCTACGGTGGACTCGTGTGGCATCTGCACATGTAAGAGAGAGGGGAGATCGCAAGGGGCCTTCCAGTCCCCGGGTATCTCCCCAAGACAGGTGGAAAGTAAACCCCAGAATATGACCCTTCGGCCCACGGTGCATCAGATGCCACCCAACCTTCCGAGGTGCCGTTCCTGGCACCTGTGACTTGTGGAAGTGTCAATGAGCACAAGTGCAGACACCTTTGGGACCCCTGTCCACCTCCCTGGGCTCTGCAACTCACCAGGACGTGGGCGGCTCTGAAGAGGTAGCTGAAGGGGTAGTAGAGGAGGTTGATGAAGGAGGCTGCATAGAGATCAGCGTAGCGCATCACCTGGCTGGCAAACAGGGTCTGTCGAGAGCCGCTGCGGAAGAGGCTCCCCATCATCCCATAGCACATGTCCATGTCATGGGTCACTTTCTGCAAGCAAAGGGCACGTTAGATCCAGGGCCGGGCAGGCAGCAGCGTGGAGCCACCACAACGCTGAAGCAGAGCACACTGAGGGCTGGGGGCTCCATGAGATCTGCAAGGATCTCCAGCAAGGCTTTATGTGCTCGTATCCCGTGGCATCAGAGCAGGGCCGAGTCCCAGATAACAGAGGGGAAGGCAGCAGCGGGGTCAAGGCCAGCACTTGCCACAGGCCAGCCCCCCCAGGGCTGGCTGAACTAGAAGCTATAGTCCCTCCAAGCTTGTGTGCCCGTGCCCCGTCCCGCAGCAGCGAGCGCTGTCGGTCAGTGCTGCTGCGTGCGTGAGGAAGGAGACCCTGTTCCAGACCAGGCTGCCTTTCAGGAGTGCCAGTGACACCAGTGAGCTACGAAGCTCCTCCGTTTGCATCCACAAAGACAGAAGTGCTTTGCCAAGCCTGCCCTGCCCACCCAAAGGCAGAGCAAAGCAGTTCAGGGCTGAGCAGTGTGCTTGGGCTGTCAAGGCCTTTGGGATCCAAAAGGATGAAAAGGGATTTTTATGATTGGTACCTTAATGCGTCTCTGGATGGAGCTGATGTCAGGGCGTTCATTGCTGCTACTGTCCAGATGCCTAGTTACAGGCGAGAAGGTAAATACATGGTGTGAAAAGCTTTTCAGAACCAGATGCTGTGGGATGGGGGCTCGGGGGAAGGAGGCTGGTCTGGAGGGGAAGGTCGGTCTCATGGCAGAGCCCGGACCTGAGTCAAAGCTCTGGCAGCAGTGCCATTAACCCAACCCCAAGGTTTCGCCAGAGCCGCTTGTGAGCTGTTGCTAGGCTGGGAGAGGCAGCAGGAAAGTTGTCGCTGTTTGAACACTCACTTGTATAGCTCGGCCAAGAAAATGTCCAGACTCTGCAGCTCTTCAAAAAGGGCTGGAAAATCCAGAAAAGAAAGGGGGGAAAAGGTAAGTTTAAACTGTTGAAATGAAAAGGGCTGAAAGCAAACCCACCATCCTGCCTGCTCCCCCTCCATGGTGGTGGAGGGGCCCTGCACCAAGGAGCATGGCCTCTCACAGCCACTGTGCAGGGAGAGGGTCCAACAGCACTCTGTGCCACTGGCAAAGCTTCAGGCTTGGTTTCTGGATGCCCCTTTTGTTTTTGAGGCTGAACCTTTGCAGCCCTCACCAAAATCTTCCAACCAGCCATGGGGTAACTTGCATAACCCCCAGACCTATTTACACACCAAAGGGCAAACCTGGGAGAAAAGCAGTAGCGCTGGATGATGGGAAACACACAGCACTTTGTCAGTAGAGCAGCAGAGGGAGCAGAAGGAAGGAGGAAGAAGCAGCTGGTGAGCAGGGACTACCTGCAGATGGGAGAGCAGTCATGGCTCAGGCATTACAGGGAGAAGAACCCAGGTGTCTTATCAGATACTTTTTACCAGAGAAGCCACGGCTCCATACGGACAGAAGAGTTTTTGGGGTAGGGTTACAGATGAGGAACAACTCAACCCCACCCAGCTGCAGCTTCTCCCCTGGCCAAGTCAGCACACAAGCAGCCTGGGAAAGAGCAGAGAAAAGGCCTGGGACCCTGAGGGCAGCCCTCGGAGAACAGCCCCAGCTCCTGCCACCCTGGCCTGGGGTTTTCCGGGCTGCTGACCGCTTTTGTCTGTCCAGACGTGCAGCTCCTGCGCCAGCTCGGGGATCACCAGGAAGGTCCTCCAGCCTTGGCGCTTCTTGGATTTGAGGATGTCTCCAAAGATATGGTCTCCAATGTACAAGATATCCTTCCCTTTGGCCCCCAGCAGGTCACAGACTGTGTCCGAAGAGCCTGAGAGAAGAATGGCATGGCTCAGAATGGGGAGCCAAAAGGAAACATGGCTCATTTCAGAGGGCCAGGGTTAGAGATGGCACAGGTGCACTTTCCTCCCAGAAATCTCCACTGCTAAACATAGCCCCACTGCTTGGCCATGGCAGCACAGGGCACCGCCCACCCACCTGGAGTTCACCCAGGAGCAGCTTTGCCCATGCACACCCCCACATGTGAGAGTAATGGAGCCCTGAGCATCACAGACCAGCCTGCATATCCACCTGCTGCCCTTCCCTGGCTCAGGGGACCCTTCAAGTGTGGTCACGCTGGTACTGGGAGCAGCACCATAAGTACAGCTGGGAATGTTGCACTGGGCCAGCTGCATCTCCCTGAACACCACAAGCCCTGCAGTAGCACTTCCCAGATCCTCTCTAGCAGGGAAGATAAGGGCATCTGAGGAGGAACAGGTCCATTTCTTCCCTGCCTTTGGGCAGCAGTGATGATGGAGAGCTGCTGGTGCAGTGTGCAGAGGGCATGGTACAATGGGCTTTGGGAAACACAGCCCTGCCTAGCGCCTGGCACAAGTCCAGAGTGCCAGAGTGGCTGAAGGCCATGAGGGCACATCAGAGCCACTGCACAGCACAAGGAGGATTCTTGCCTCACCTCCTGAGTACACGATACCATGCTGCAGTGGGCCAGTGTAGGTGCCGATCTTCAGCTTCCCTGTCACCTGAGGAAGAAGACATTGCGTTAGCACAGAACAGTTAATGGTCTGGATGTTTTTTTCTGGGCTATTGGTACTTTACTCTTTGCCCCCCTCTCACTCCTAGAGGTGGCCTTCCACATTCTTTTCCTATTGCCATCTGTGGTACATTAGGGCAGCCAGCAAAGCCTCAAGCTCTGCTGTGCCCCAGGTGATGGGGCTGCTCAGGGGTTGCTCACTAAGAGGAGAAGCCAGCCGACCATTTCTAGGGCAGGTCCTGTCTAAACACTTGTGTTGCCCATTGCCACTAAAAGATATCACCGTGGAGGTGCACAAGCCCTTCCAGCCCTACAGGTGCCCTCCATATGCCACTCACCGTGTCCACCTGCCGCAACACGGTGCCTTCCCCAAAGAAGAGGGGTTTCCGTGCATCCACCAGGATCAGGTCAAAGTAGGACTGCCATGGCCGATGGGCGCTCCCAGGCTGTAAGGGCAAAATCAAACCCCAGAATCAGGCACAACACAACCACAGGGAGTTTAACCAGAGCGCCGTTGTCCACAGCCATAACTTTGTGACATGGCTGGCCCATAAAAATGCTCTATCTCATGCCTCTTATGGCATGATGCTGGGCTGCCAGCACCATCCCCTAAAGCACTGCCCTTCTGCAGCAAGCCATCCCAACCCAGCCTAGCAGTGAGGACTGGGGACGTGGTATGAGACAGGAGAACTGCCCTGAACTTCCACATCACAGCACAGCCGTCACGTAAAGAGATGCTGTAAATGACACCACTGCTCCTGTTGCAGAAGGTGACATCCAGTGTTGATCCAGACACATGTGACTTCGCAGCTTCAGCCCTACAAGGCCACACTGGTACATCTGCCAAGAGCGGGAAAGTGCCTGGGCTCTATTCCACAGAGCACAGCTTTGAATCACAGCCCTGCCCAAAGGACACTGGGCATCCACGAGCCCTTTCTGCTCTGTCTGAGATCAAGACCACAGCAAGGAGTTTGTTGAGCTATCAGTTGTGATGATTTTCCATATTCTGAAAATTTCTCCCTTGTCTACCTTTAGAGCACAGTGTGAAAACACATCTTTTGAGCGTCTCCCACTGGGAGACTGAGAAAGCAGTAGCAACTCAGCTCATGAGCTTCTCTCCAAAGTTTGCAGGGCTGAGTTTTGACCTCAAAAAACCAGAAAAAGCATGTGTAAAACTTTCAGAGTTACCACAGTCAAGACACAATCAGCCATAAATGTTTCTGCTGTTTTATAAAACTCTCTCCTTTCCATCATTTTAACAACATCCAAAACATTATGCAAAACTTCTGCGAAACCTGGCTGCAAAATGCCACAGCTAAAATCTGTTATCACTAAAATAATGTTATCATTAACACAGATTATTGTTTGAGACCAGATGATGCCTCTTTTCTCTTCGTTATATTGTATTTGCTTTGATCCTATTCAAATAGGACACGAAACAGCAAGTGTATTTTAACTAGATTAAAGCAACTAATCCCAGCCGATGAGGCAGGATTAAAATGCTTTCCAGCTACACAGATAATTAGGCACATCAGTTTCTATTGGAACTGCAGTCTAGAAACCACATACCTTTGGTCCATGTGGAAAGTCAAACAAGTAAGTCATAATTTTCTGAAAGACAGAAATAAAGCATTCAAAGATCTGGTTTTAAACATACATTTGTGTACTTTATAAAAACATACTTCTCTACTTTTCTCTTTTCAGATTACAGAACTTTATTTTCAGGATTTACACAAAAGTTAGCATAAGATTTGGAGACAATGAATGGATGGACTTTAAAGTGAACAGGAGCTAAACCAGGAATATTTGTAATCAAAGAACACATTTGCCTTCAGAAATCTGCACACTGCTACATGTATATCTTACAGAGCTTTAAAATGGCACATAAATCTTTGGATTAGCAGTGTTGCAGCATCCTGATATTTACCTGGAGTTGAAGTAACTGCATTTATTCCTACAGCACAGCAGACAGCCCTTTCTGGCTCTTTGACTGCTCCAGGACCATGACTTTGGTGATCTGCCTGTACTCAGACTATCTCACTTGAAAGGGAAGTTCTGCATTTTAGAGGATGCTGAAATCTAAAATGATTGTTGCTCTCTTTCAGCTTTTCAATTGCTGAGGAACTGTGAGGCACAGAGCGACTTAAGTCAGGCCCATACCAGGTCAGTAGCAGAACCAGGACTACAAAAAATGACTCAAGACCTAATCTGCATTCATCACTAAATAAACCTAGTTTAGAAAACACCCCATTCACCAACAGATGTCCCATACAAATGAATGGCTGGCTGTTGCTTATGCCATTATGCACTATCAGAACAATTCAAGCAGCACTTACATCTGTGTATTTGTAGTCGCTGTTTGTGACAAGAAACACCTTCCCAACTTCATTCATGCGGCTAAGCAGCAGTGGCAGCTTCCCCTGAAAACCAAGGGACATACAAAGTATAGAGATTCATCATGGACAAAACACTCTCAGCTATGATCCCACCAGACGAAACAAAGCAAATCAAACCATCAAGCAAGCAAACTTGTGTTTTGCACTGGCCAGAGCCAGGAATGCTGCTGGTCCGTCCAGGTAACACCCTTCCAGAGCACAGCCCAGGGGAGGACGGCGAGGGGGAAGGGCTCAGCAGGGCTGTGGTGCCTCTGCCAACCACAGTGCCAGGCACCCTCTGCTGCTCCATGACAGGCACTCTGGAGCAGCTCCTCCAGCTCCAAGACCGTTCCCAAAATGGGCCCAGAGGCAGGTGAAATCTGAGCTCACATGAGCTGCAAGTTGGAGCGCATTATAATTCCAACCTCAAATTAGGGAGAATTTATTCCTGGGGCTATTTTTATTGAATCATAAATCTCAGTCCATCGCCAGAGTAGCTTATTACCTCACAGAATGGTTTCCTAAGAATTTTGCAGACATGTAACAGCTTTAAAGTGATACGCTACCACAGAGCTCATCTAAACTAAAGAATAATTATACTGTAAGTGGTCCAGAGGGGCCCTGCACACTGCGGAGGGCAAAAGTAAGAGAATCACTGGAGCTTGCTCAGTTAAGACATGCTGCACACACATTTTGGGGCTATCAAGAGATTGCACGTCAGTGAGTCCTTCAGGATCCTCCCCTCAGTCCCTTCACAGTTAAATGTGTGTAACATTTTTGCTGGATGGCTAAGGGATGCTTCTGTCTGAAAACATGCTCATCTGTTGCTTTTTAAAAAGAGATCTGCTTGGTCAGAGAAAACGTCGTCAGGGAACACAGCTTCTTTCAACACCAAAAGAAACAATGTGAGCCTTGCCAGCACATTCACCTGTGTCCTGTGGTAACATTTCCTCTGGCTTTTACATTTTACGTAAAAAAGGTGCATGTGAATACGAAATCACGTGGATCACTGGCTCAGAATAAAGGCTGCGCCCGAACTTTCCACTTTGTCTTCGGTTATTACAATAGAAATCACAGCGTTATCTATTTTGTGATGTAGTAAAGCAAATCAGCATGTTTATTTCTTGCCTGCTTACTCAGTACAGAATGTCACGTAGCACAAGTGAAGTAACTTCACACTTACATCTTTAACCACATACTTTTCCAGATTCTCAAGCGTCTTTTCCTTGAGCGATCCCTGAAATAGAAACAACAGAACCCAGTGAGGTAATGGAAACTTATGATGCAAGAGACATCAAAGTAATGCCAACTTTCACACTTTAAAATGCTGTGAAAGTACAAACCAGGGCGAATCTGAACCAGTGACTCTAGAGATGAGAGGCTTTGAGTAGCAGGGACCATCACAAACTCTGTGATCCATCGATTCCCTCACCATGGTAAATAATCCACTTCAACAGCATTTTAACCCTTTCAGAAGGGAATATAATAGAAACAAACAAAAAAAAGATTTGCCATACCAAACAAGACAGTCAACGACCTGTCTCCAACATTGACCATAATGCTTTACTCATAGGCCAACTCCAACATGTATCACACAACACTGCATAAGGAAACAAAAATAGATTCCTGACTTCTGCATGGCTAAAAGGACAACCACAAGTACACCTGTGAGCAGAATTCTCCTGTGACTTTTCTCCAACCCACCCCAACAGACTTCTTGAATAAGGAAGAACAAGAAAATCAGATCTTTAACCAGATATTAATGCTCACAAAATATTATTCTAAATTTGTGCAAAAGCACGTGAAAAAGATGAACTGTCTCTCCTCTCTAAATAAAGAAGAGTTGATGTATTTCTATGTTTAATGCAGGTATTTTTCTGACAACATAAGATAGTACCAATGTAAACCATTTACAGTAAAATGCTGTTTTAATAATTAGGTCAATGTACAAGTTGTGGGCTCTAAAGGCAACCGCTCTCATGACATCACATTCTAAAACCTGTGAATTACAGCACAGAAATGGAATCTGGGCACAGCAGAAAGGAATAGGAAGCTAAGACACTTCTGTTCCAGTACTAGGACAGTCAAGATCTTGACTTACTCGTATACAACTGCAATTTATTATTTGCTCACTAGGCGGCAAAGCAGAGCCCTTGTGCAAAAGTAGAATAACATCTTAACTCATGAGTTATAAACTAGTCCCTCTAACTCAATGATAAATACAGACTCCCTGGGACGCTTGCAATCACCTTGTAATGAACCCAATCAACAGCATCTCTGACATCCTGGAACATACTCCTGAAGGACATGAAGAGGTCTCCATCTTTAAAACCTGTTTCACAGCTGTGAGGAGAAAGAAGAGAGATTGCAGTGATCAGTTGCATCAGGTAAGAAACATATCAAGGAGAGAGACAGTTCAAAATATTGTTTGGAGCTTGTGTTTTCATCTTACGATAACTGTTTCTTATTTATTACTTCACCGCAGCTCAGACTTGAAAGAAGGCTACAACCAGAGTTTAACAGGATCTGTGTGTTACCCAAGAACATTTAAGATTTTGGGATGCATGTTCCTTACTACAGGTCTGTGCCTTCACAGCAGTATTACAGCTTTTTGTGACTGCATCTCTTATTTCTCACCCACAGTATTACAAGAAGGAAAGAAGACTGGGACTGTGCAGTTTGCAGCATTTTACAAAAGATGACTGGTACTGAGAAACTAAGTGGAGTGCTGCTCTTTCTCCCTCTTTCAACACTAAAGAGGGGGATGCAGTGGAAATCTACTCAGTGTAATACTTGCTGCTGATGGGAACTACTTCTATGTTGAACATGAGAAATTTCCTCTGCAAGATACTGTGGAGGTATCTTTGAGACAGCCATGAGAGTTTGCATCATAAGAAATCAAGGAGGGTTAAACAGAGCTGTATTTATTCTAACAGCAGACGGATTGTCGGCACAAACAGCTCCTCTGCTCCCCGGTAAAATCCCATTAAACACTTGCCTTCCACTCACATAATATGCAAAGATGACCCATCACATGAGTCAGCAGCACAGCAGCATCCACATTTGCCAGTTCAAACCGCAGCTTGTTTTTGTGCTTATACCCCTTTGAAAGCAAGGTAAATACTCGTGCTGCACAAACAGCCACGCTGTGCCTCAGCATTTCACCCTTAAGTGAACAAAGTCCTGAATTATGACCCAAGGGACTTGTGGTAACTGGATGTGGAAATTTAGCCTTTCAGTTACAGTTCAAACACAGCTCCAACAGACACAAGTTCAAAAAGAGCTGTCTAGTGCCTGTAATCACCCTGTAATAAGTATGTGGTCTTAAAGCTGGCCCAAATACCAGTGTCAGTCAGTATGGTGATACTGATACACCCAATGAAGAAAACCCTCGTAACCAGTCTCTGCTGTACACACAGATCACCTCATCACCACTAAATTCTCTTAATGTCAACAGATTAAGAGGCTTGAATTTTTCCCCACCGAAACCACTTGAGGGGCCTCCACTAATATTAAGAACAGCTCCATCTTTGCTGCACTGCTTTTTAGAATAACAATCATACTGTACCATCAGCACCTCGAATCAGAGGGAATACATACCTAGTGTACCGGTCACAGTTAGTGAAGAAATCCACTAGACAAGCCAATAGGTAGGTCTCTGCAAAGAAACAGAGCAAGATTTTAAAACCAGGATAACATGATAGGGCCAGCAACTTTAGGCCCTGTGCCCAAAAGAAGAAAATTCATGTAAGGAGGTAACAGGTAAGTAGAGTACAACAAATGCAAAGCTTTACTGGTGTTAAAGGCACAGAAACAGGCCAGTGTTGGCTTACAATAGACTCACCTGGTAGATTGAATAATGTGTTCAGAATGTAAAACCTATCTGTGTCATCCCTCTGGATAAATTTATTTGGATATTGATCCCGTGTTTCAGGCCTGAGAACAGATAAGGTGGAGAAGAATGAAACCACAGAAAATAATGAGGATAAAAAGTGCTGACCTGCAAAATATAGTCATGGCAGGGTCCATTAACTAGGGTCTGTTGTGCTTTAATCAACACCCAGCTCTCCCACATGCACTAGTGGTGCAGGAGCAAAACTGTACCCACCAGCGTTCACTGCTGAGTCAGCAAACTGAGCAGAGCCAGCAGGGAAACAGAGTGGTCGAGAGTCCACAATGCAACCTTAATCCCCATGCTGCTGGCTATGAGGATGCCTTAAATCATCTGCACTTTCCTTGTTTGCTTATCTTAAACTTTCCCCCAGTTTCCATGTGTTGCTCTACACTCCCCAGCAGCTTTCAGCAGGGGGTGTGGGGCTGTGCTGCAGGAGGCTTGCCTGGGGCCCTCTGCCATTAATCAGCAGGGTGGCGGTGACTAAAGTTATTTCATTATCCTGGTTTCCGTTGTTTCTGGAGCCTCTGAAGATCACCTCTGACTCCAAAAGGGACTTGAGTGCATATATATGGGCTTTTGCTAAATTTTAACTTCTGGATGCAAGGAAGTAGTCTGCAATGACAAGGCTTGTCACCTTGGGGGCCCTGAGCTGGCTTGTGCTTGCCTTCCATCCATCTGCCCTGGCAGCAGGGGTTCGAGGGGATTGGCTGGGACACTCCAGGCACATAGCACTGTGGTCCTGTCTGCTTCCTAAAGCACCTTCTCGGGGGCAAAAGAAGTGTAAGCAGTCAGGGAAGGCTGCAGGAAATGGCAGGCAATGCCTCAGCTCTGACACCCTCAAAGGTCAGAAACACAATGGGGTAGAGCAAGTTGTTCCTTCATTCCTTCCCCAAGCCAACTCAGGCCCTCAAACTTTCTTAGCACTGGCTGTGGAGTTAAGTCTCACAGGGCACAGGTCCTCTCTGCTCCCAGCAGCCCTCACACAATGGCTTTGTCTTAACTGACAAGCTGCTAATGTTAAACTGCCAGGACAGGTGAACAGCCTCTGGGTTATCCCATCAACCCCTTCCCACACTACAGATACGCCCTTGCCAGCGTGGACCCTTCTGCTACAAACACCCTGGGCTGTTGCTGTGTCTGGGACCCTCAGTGCACACCCTGTCAATCCTAGAGCTGTAAGAACACCGATAAGGCATCTGCTGTCAGTGGAGTTCCCATACAATGACTCCACATACAATGGGTGTCCTGAGGATCAGTGACACAAAAGAGCAAATTAAGTCAGAAAGAAGAGACAAGAGTCAGCACTCACCCTCTGAGGAAATTAAAGCCATGTGCACACACAAGGAGGTTCCCATAGGCATCAACTTTCAACAGGTTTCCATAGTGAGTATCAAACACCAGGCCTCTGTTAAGAAAGCGATTTCAGATATGAAGCCAGCGCATTCAGTGGCAACCATTTTAATAGCAGTTCTTCCCAGATTAGCTCTAGAACAGCTCGCTCACTTGGAGTGGGACATCAGAACAGAGTTGCTGTTATGCAGATGTATACTGTCCCTTTTACCTGGCTGCAGGTGAACAGCATGAGGCCTGCATTGCCAGGGGAAAGGGGCAGCTGATCTGCTCTCCATAAACTTGCAGTCAGCACCGTTTGACCCAGCAGAGGCTTGGCTACCCACGTAGCAGGGACAGACCAAGGCCGCTGCCACAGGGTCAGGAACCTGACGCCTGTGTTTGTGCTTCCCTGACAGCCCTGCTTGACTGCAAGGAGGAGTGAGGTGTGATAAAGGGAGTTATCCCCTCTTCTGCATCACTGTCACAGACAGAGCCACATGGGGCATGTAACTGTTCCACAAAATGCTTTGGACATTCCTGGTTCAAATTCCAGCAAAACTCTGTCTCACTTATTTAAGTAGCCTGCATCTGGAGAACACAGCCTTCCCACAGAGACATCCCTTCTGCCCCCTCCTTGGGAGGAAGGCAGTGGACTTAATGGAGTTTTATCACAGGTTTGTGAATGGCTACTGTCTTGTTACAGGCGTAGGCACAGCCAGGACCAGTCCTGGTGTAAAATATGCTGAGAGGAGGGAAGGATAGAGGCTGCTAGACTGAAAACCGGAACTACAAGCCAACAGACCCTCTGGTCCAGTCTTTTGTAAAGAAGCTCCAAAGGAGTCAAAAAAGCAAAATCCATCAAATGAACAAGTGGAAACAACTTAAAGGCACAGAGTTAGCTCAAAAGCCTTGTCCTTTTTACCTCTGCTACCAAAAGACAAAATGTACCAATTTAGTAACTTGCACAATTGACTTCGCTTTTGGTGTTTGATTCATCTAGACAAGTGAACTGGATTGGCCCCACTTTTACTGCTGCTTACTGTCAGCTTAATTTTCAGGATGTCATATGCACCAGGACACTATTAATTAAAATCATTAAAGAGAAATGCTGTCAGATAGTCTAGCAGCCTCATGGACAGTAATGGCTCCTTCTCCCCTTGATTTACCACCCATCCGATTGTGTCTCTGCTGTCTTTGCTTTGAAAGGTTACTTTGGGACCATGTTTTCAGCAAACCTCTTTTTTTGCACACTCCCTCTTTGCTGGCACGGACTCATGTGTGCAAAGGCCCTCCACATACTGGAGCAGTCTGCTCCCTTCCCCATGATCTGTGGTCAGCCACAGGCTTCACAGGCACAACTCTGAAAACCTGGCTTCCCGTGTTGCTTATGAACTTTGCAGAACAAATATTCATAGCCTTGAGCAGGCCGGGTTGGTATCTGTTAGTCATTTACCTGGTAGGGAATGCAGGATCATACACAAAATTGAGCAGCTCATGAGGATATCCAATGGAAACTAATCTTTCTACGGTCAGGTCAAATCCAAGAGATTCGTATTCAGGGGATTTATACACTGTACCAAGATGAGATTTCAGTTAGAAACTTTGAAAACAGCTAGGGGGTTAAACAAGAAGGCAGTTAAAAGTAATGTACCCATTTACCCTCCTCCCTCCTCCGCATCACACGTTCCCTTCTTTGCTTCTGCCCTCCACTGCCTCAGGTCCCCCAGCCTGGAGACACGGTGGAATTAGCTCATGCTCCAGGACCACAGCCAAGTGGAGCCACAGTTCAGGTTTCAGCAGCAGAGTGCACCAGATGAAATATCCATCAGGCCATCACAGCTCTCTGCACCAGGAAAAATGTATTTCAAACTGCACCTCCTCTCCCTGCAGTCCCGTTAGGCAGATGCATGAACGCTCCATGTTCCACCTGCTCAGATCAGGTTTTGGTTTGCTGTGTTTTCGCAAAGCTGATGAAGAAACCAATAAATTTTGGCAACACGTATTCATGACTAGAAAGCCTGAAATTAATCACTGCTGTGCTACTGTTACTGCTCTGGATACAATCCCAATGCGTAGTATTGTATCCAGATTTCATCTACAGGAATCTATGTTTGCTGCAGACTAAGTTAGCTTGAAGGTAGAGCTGTTAACATATGACTTGTTTGTTAATAATAGCATATGGTACTGCGAAAATCTGTTAGCTATTACCCCTGTGCATTAAAAAGCTACTCTTTTAAGCAAGATTACTGTTCTCATATTTCAGAGGAGCTCCTCATCTGTGACCCGCACCTTAGCTCAATGCAAAAGAAATGCAGGTGTTAAGCCATTCCTACCATCAGGCCTGTCTTCTTTCTGCAAACAACTTTCCCATATACTGGAAATGTTACTGCTTAATCAGATTGTTAAATTAACATTTAAAAGAAAAGCTCTGTGTCTCTATGACAGAAATCATGGTGTTTCTCTGATGGTGTGTTTACATTTGCTGCATGGTGTTGTCTAAAATTTTTCTTAAGATGTAACAAGGTCAAATACAACCCTTGACTTAATGAGGGTTAACATGTGTTCAGGGGGCTCAACTGTCTCACTCAAATATTTCAAATTTAGCTGAGTGAAATACAAAAATGTGCAAGTTACACAGTAAGCTCATTAGAAGACAGACTGTTTTACCTGAGAGAGTTTTAGCACATCTTTGGGCCTCACAATATATATTAATACATTGTCTATACTGCCAGGTTATCACCACCATATATATACTGTGGAATACTGTATATACATATATAATATGTGTATATATATATACACACACACACACTCTTTGTCTGCTTAGACTGAGATGAGAAAAAAAAAACCCTCAAACCTACAAGAACACTGTAAAGGCAAGGACTATAGAAGGAAGGAGACTGTCAAAAGACTCAGATCATAGTAACAGTGACAGAGGGCTTCTGTATCTCTTAATCATCTAAAAAGCACCAGAACCCTAACAGTTAATTTTCCCCATTAAACTAACACCATTAAAAATGTACCTAAAAATTAAACCTGTAATGTTCTTAAACAGATAAGAAAAATCAATAAATCTGTTATCAAAATATTCAAGCATTATTATACCAATGGCAAACATCAACAACTTGATACGACATTCCGTGCATGTAGTCTCTTCTGTCCTTTAGGTAAGGAAGGGTTGATTGAGCTATAGATAGGAATCAAGCAAAAACTACAGCTAATAAAGAAAGGAGTGTCTGACAAGGCAACTCTGAGGAGCAAAAGGCACTTAGGTGATGAACAGCACTGTGAGAGTGACACAGGATCATCATCTGAAAAAAGGAATTCCTGATACAGAACAGTAAAGGCACTTCCCAGGGAAAATAGTAATAAATACACCTGTACATACTCTCAGAAGGTGAAAGCACTGCAAAGCTCCCTGTTATGTAAAGCAGCCTCCAGTTCCCCGCCCTACCCATGAAGCTGCTGCACTCCTCCTCGTTAGCTTCCTGGGAATTTGACCATGGAATTAATACCAACTTATCCATGAAGCATCACTCCCAAACAGAACACTTCTCCACGGAAACCCTGCTCTTTCTGAACTCACCAACCAGGGTGATGCTGCCCAGACACAACAAATCTCAAGACACACATTAGCATCAATTCTGGTCAAGCAGGAGTGGTTCATCAACTGCTCCAGTCTGCTCCAGTAGCATCTTCAGGGAAACTGTACAGCTTTCTGTTAAACAACCTGTGCATCTTGTAAACGCCTCCACCAGAGAATAGCTGTGGTGGAACATGTGGCCAGCTGCTCACAAAATGCCCTCACTCAATTTCTTCCTCTCTGTATCTGCCTCTCTGTCTTAGATTTCTCACTATAGGAATCCTTTTAACTTTCTGAGTCTAAGGAAACAAGCTGAAGTACCAGCATAAAAAAGGCTGAAGAACAGGTATCAATCTCAGCCTTCATTCATCCCAAGACTCTTGTTGAGGCAGAATTGGAACAAGATTAATCTGAGTGTTTCCTTATTGGGGGGCAGTTATTCTCCTTACTTCTCAAGCCCTAGATTTTGCTTCCTTGACATTTCTTTGAATAAAACCAAACTACTAGCTCATTCGTGCTTTAGTTCTTGCCCTATTTGTCTACCACTCCACAATATTTAGAAAATGAGAGCCTTCTCCTTGATACACTAAAATAGAGACCCAGGAAACTGAACTCCTGGAAACGGGAAACGGACAACAAACATTCTCCAGTTACCATCATCTTACTGTTCAAGATAAACTTTCCTCTAATTAGACACACAGTTGGGAACAAACTGAGAGCTCACTGAGCCCACCTGACAGCACCCTACACCATAGCACATGCTGCATCAACCAGAATGAGCCACAACCCACTGACATTTCTCATAAGCTGTGTGAATGCCTGTTTCAGTAACACGAGCTTCTGGGCAAACAAAGAATCTACGTCCTTCACAGCAAGTATGAACAGGCTAACACTGCTGCAACTACAGCAGCCCATTAGGGAAGATGCCCCAGTTATATGCATTACTAAATGAAAAAACATTTTGATATTTCACTCGAGACTGGTGTCTTTCTCTCTTATCTTCTTTACTTCAGGCATCCATGGGGAAAAGGAGTAGAGAGGAGAGATCAACTTTTTTTTTTTTTTCTGCAGCTGCATGATTAAAAAAAGCAGTTTTAAACTTTCCTGGAACATAACCCTCCATCAGACCTGGTTGCTGATACCACAACTGGAGATACTTTGTGTGCCACGGCAATACCATGAATTCAGCTCTTTGCCATCCAGTGTTCCCGTGCTTAGCTCTTTCACCCAGAGAAGGGCCCAGTCTTCAAGCATCCCCAGCTCTGGTGACAGCTGAAGAGGCAGAGCCACAAATCCATTTTCAGAGCATCTTTGCCCAACGCATGTGGTACATCAGTAAAACCAAAGCACATGTTACAACTTATTCTGATTCTTTTTTCTTCCTACTTGATGGCCATGGCTCTGCCACCATGCCAAGTCCCCAGCTCCAGAGGACCACATTCTTTTAACAGTCCGTGTTCCAACACAGGCAAATGCTTCAGCGGCGCAGGGCAATCGGCACCCAGCGCTCGGGGATTATGCAACTGGGGTGGAAAGAAAACAACCAAAGGTTTAAAATAAACCAGAAGCCAACTGACAGCATTTCAGGTTCCCCTTAATACCATCACTTGGCTTGACATTATACTACTGAAAGGTAAAAAGCAGTACACTAGGAGTGATCATTGCAAGCCTTCAGGTCTGTGATGAGTGCGGGTGTCCCTGACACAGTATGTGACAGGGGAGAAGCTGACCTGGAGCGAGCAGGGGTTGTGCAACAAGGTATGTAATTCTCATGCACATGTGTGGCTGTTTTTACCTTTGCTGCCAAGATACATACAGTAACAATTGTATAGCCTTCCTGAAAAGGAAAAAAATGAAGAAAAAAAAATCTCTAGAGAGGCTCCAGCTTATGCAAAATGCTGCTGCCAGGATTTTAACTCACATGAGGCAGATGCAGATTCAGAGTGTCACTCCAGTCTTGACGGAGTTACACTGGACTCCCCTGTTAAAAAAAAAAATCAGACTGATTTTAAAACTGCAACAGCTCTGTGCCACGTGGGACTGTATCTGCTGGAGCTCTGTCCTCTGGTAAGCTCAGAAGCCGGCCTGGCAGTTATTCCAAATACACTTAAAACTGATTTATAGAGGAGGCACAGTTGGTAATTGTGCATCCTGCAGGCAAAATTCTGTCCTCATATCCACAAAGCAGTCTTAGATCATCAGATCAGTGATCATTAGGAGGAAGAGGCTACAAGCACGCTGCCCACGTGACACAAACTCTTTGAGTTTCTCTCAGTCGCAGAGCAACTGGTTCAAGAAGGGGTCTCGTGTTCTTTTTGGGGCTTTGCCATTGTCCGTTCCTCAGCTGATGGCAGATTACTCCTTTCAGGGCACTCACTTTCTTTCACACCACAAAATGCCTGCATATGTAAGTGCAGGAGACTCAGGAGACTGAGTCAGGAATCACTCTGGGAATCTGAGAAGAGAATTTTGCCCTACATCTGATGGTGCTACCAGCGAGAGCCTCGCACACTGGGTCAGTCTGACATAGCACGTCTAAATTCAACTGTATGCTTTAACACGCTTATGCTTGGGCTTTTATGTGCAAAGCATTGCAGGATAAACTGGTACCAGACTTGCACATAGTGCTGTGCCATATTGCAGTGCACTGGTTTGCAAGCACACAGAGTAAGAAGATGAGACCTAGTCTGCAACTCACAGGTATGCACAGAGTAATCAAGAATAACTTTGAGATCCAATTTGCAGCAAATACAAAGCTGAACGAGTTGGAATGATGTTCCAAAAAGGACGCACACAAGTATGCAGACCTCCTAGGAGGTTTCTCTGAAAATAAATGGTTTAAGCCTGTTTTGTTTCAAAATGAGTAACTGGGGAAAACTATAGTGCATGTGATGGCTGTGTTTAAACTGTGAGGAAGAGAAGGCACTTCGAGGGCTGCCCATTTCTCTCCTTCTTCCTTCTCCACACACACAGATTTCAAATTAAGGC